GATTCAGTGTTTCGCACAGATCATCAGGGTGAAAATCGTGTCGAGGACATGCTCGCAGAAGTACGACCCCCTCCCCCTCAAAAGCGAGGTTATGGCACGACCCTCTCATATTGACTCTTTCATGGAGTGTAGTGGTGTAGTGGTGACCATCCGCGTCTGTCACATGCGAGACCGGGGTTCTATTCCCGGTGGGAGAGAAGTTCTTGTAATCTCACAAAAAGTTGTCCATGCCAATGCGAATGTTCGAAAAGTTTATAGAGGAACATCACAACAGCCTGTATCGATCAACGGCCGATTCAACGGCAGCTGCGGCGCGATTGTCACTGGGTCAGATTTGCTGAAATCCCGAAAAAAACCGTCGAAATCTACACCCTCGATGAAAAGGTTCCATTCCTCCATTTCACAACCTTTTGAACAGCACGCGGTAGGGTTAGATAGAGCTAGGATTTGCTACTATCAGGCAGTATTGAAATTGCTCTGAAAGCCTTCCATGCAGAGAAGATAGGGTCTCTCAAATTTCGTCGAGGATGCTGAAATTTTCATGCGAGTTTTTGCCACTTCAAAATATCTCTCTAATTTCGTGAGATCTTGAAAAAGTAAAGATAGTTTTGGAAAGCGGAAGGTTTGCGCTTTCTGATAGTCTGTTTAGCTTTTTTCTACGTCTTTTAGTTGAGGAGATATTTGCGTCGAGGATCTATCGAGGATGATTCTCGGCCGCTCAAAAAGCCGCTTCCTTCTTCACCATTGCAGAATAATTCGTTGACAACACTCGAAATGTGTCTAGATACACCCATTCGGCGTAGGCAGTATGAAAAGGGACAACTATCGACGTAACCCGCTATCGCCTCATACGCCACGCATCCGACCGTTTCTCAAAGCGTACACCCGATTGAAAGTGCGTTATATGATGATGACCAGTTGACAGAAGCTGCATTGTAGTAAACGCATTTCGTAACTACAACCTAAAAACAACTTCATTTGCCCAGGGCTTTTCCTTCACGGTTGTCGTTTTTGCGACAGGGTCCCTAACAACAGTTTCATTCTCAGCGAGGTGTCAAGAGCGAGCAGAAAGAGTATTTTATATAATGTTTTCTCACATATCCTCGTTTTCTGCTGCGCTACACCCTCTTACTCCTATCTGCACCACGATGCCACTGATGTTACTGACCTCACGAGTACGACCCCCCATGACCCAGCCTGACAAGTACGACCCCCCTGTCGAGGATTTCCTCGACCGATATTCACCCTGCAGATCATTATTCACAGATGTGTTCGACGATTTGATACGGTCACAGCCTTGCCGATCCTGGAGATTTGACGTTAACACTTTCGCATTGCATGGCATTCGAGTACATAATGTTAGAACCTTTCGAACTATGGAACAACGTAATATTCACCAATATTGACGAGACATTCCTTTATGCGTATGTCTCTGAGACTCATTTTTACATGGAAACACTTACATCGGTTAAGAAAATAGTATTCTACCACATTAGTGACTTTAGTTTGTTTGTGAGTTTTTGTTCGAATTTCGAAATCTTGATGTTGCGTGTTTAATCTCCCTGTAAGCTGCAGTTAAAATCGCAGAGGTCAAAAGAAAATCAAGTCCTCAAACCATTATTCTAGCTGCAGTTGGCTAAAATCAATATTGCATCGCAGGGCACGAAACCGTTCCGCTGCTATAGTTTTTAGCGTTTTTCGGCGTATCACTTACTTCCTCTCGGCTTATCTCCCT